AAAAAATTGATTGTAAGATCAATATACCTTGTCATGTCAAATTGTGAGCGTAGAATAATAAATGTCAGTTTCATTTAAGTAAAGATTTTTGTTCAAAACGAACGGCGCAGAAATGATCGTTTAAAGCTTTGCAGAACAACCTATGGGAAAACAAATGCCTCCCAAATTCAAAAAGGTATGGGTATATGGAAAACGGTATAATAAGTATGACATATGGTGCAATATCCAAAATGTACATATAAATAATCATTAAATTGTGTTTGACATTTCAGTGTCTTCTGTCCCCTGTCGCGTGTTGCTCCTTCCAGACTTAAAAGTATTTCTTTAGTCTCTTAAATGGAAGACAAAACACGTTGATCTAGTCCACGGAGTACAAGAGATCAATATTCCATGTGCTCCAGCAAACATAAAACCAATTCAAGCGTATTTACGATCACAATTGAATTTGCTGCTAAATTTCGGATAAGCTGCTTCTCTAACCAGTTTTCTATCTAAACTCATTAGGTATTTAGGGCGTCTGAAAAAAATTTTACATCAATTACCAGTCGTAAGGTTAGGCACAGTTTTACATCTAAAAACACTAAGCGGATTACATACCTTATAATATCGTAATAAATCCAAACTATATGCGTCTTTAAAAATCGAGTTTATATAAAACTGGAGACGGAAAACGTAAAATAAAGCAAATACAAGAAGCAAAGTATAAACTAGTAACATGAAGCCGTGACAATTACAGGTGACACTGTCAAAACAGTATAATTAATAATTATAGCACGGAGTGTACCGCGTCGTTTTGAAGGTTTTCTATTGGCCAGTTTGGAATTTAGCTCCAATATGGCGACCGGAACCAACGACCAATCAAAAACGAGATACCCTGTTGTCGCCACTGTCTCTATAAAGTCACTGTAGTCCAGATACTTGATTCATTTCATCGCGATTTATCGTGTTAGCAGTCCTGGATGAGCAGACAATACGATTTCATATATAAAATTTTGCCTTTTTTAATTAATTCCAAATCAACATGCCCATGAGACGCACCACAAATATGACAGCTGCTGAGGATATCAGAGCGTCATTCACTCCTCTTATTTGCTCATGTGAAGGTGCCATGCACATTGAATTCACGAATTTTTTTAGAAGAGTAAACTATATAATGGTAGTGAAATAGGACAGACCATACTGTTAGGTCTTGTGTTGGGTAGAGATCTGGATTCAGTTCAGTCTGATCCGTGGCATCAGCTGAGGAGTAGGAGTACCAGAGAAATCGTTTGTGCTGTGGGTACTGAAGATGGAGCAAGGATATACTTATATAAACTAAATGTTTTTCTATATTGAAAACAATTTATTTATCTTTTTACATGATTTAATAATATTACTGGATATTTTTGGGGACTGTAACAAATATTACTGGAAAATACATGTTACAAAAAGTAATAGTGTTATCGATCTACAATAAATTAATTAAAAGTATCAAAAAATAAAATTAAAAGCTCATGGTTAGTCCATTATCACATACTGAGACACGCGGTATATTTGATTGAGGAATATTCACCCTCGGAATATATTACCCTTACAATTCGTTTCATAATATTCTGCTCAGGTGTACTCGTCACCAGAAATCCAAATTTTGCAAAATCGACTCCCCATGGAGCTCATCTCCGCTCAAGGAAGCTCACTTTCATTCAGTAAAACACGACTGCCTTTATGATATGAGGTGATATCTGGGAAGAGAATTGAGGCAAATTAAGTAGTCATGAGCTTTCTTGATGGCGAAGGGAGGAAAATATTCCGGCCTTGAATTCAACGGGTCGATTTTTTTCATTTTTAGAAAATGCTCCTGGGGGGAATTGCCGTACTTCCTCCTCTCCGAGAATTATTACACGCATGGGATTGGACGCTCATTTGGCTAAGGTTGGCGATTTTTACGGGATTTCAATAAATTTTGTTTGAAAAAGTTTTCTTTAGGATACAGACATTGGAACGTGGGTAAAATAAAAATAGTGTGTGAGTCGTCATCACCAGGTCAGATTGTTTTACCTTTGAAGTATTACCTATATAAAATATTAATATTATATTAAAATATTACGATTATATTAAAATTAAAACACAGTATCTTCCGAGATGAAGTTAGTTATACCTATATCATCGACCATTTTTTATTACATTTTTTTTAATGACATAGAAGAGTGGAATTTGTGGCTTTGCCTAAGTTCTTGAGTAGGTATGACATCTTTGATGAAAATTCGAACAAAATTGCAACTGAAATTCTTGGTCGAATTACTAAATCTATCAAAACTTCATGACATTTGAGTGTACATATATGTGCCACTTCTTATGTATTGAAAATGAAAATATGATTTTTCACAAAAATTTTTGGGTATAACGCTCCTTCAGCAGTTCTTGAACTTGCCGTACTAAGTATCGTTTAAAGATACGAAATTTCGATCGACACTTTTTTTCTTACCCTCATTTGGGGTAGCAATGTTGGTAACATTTTGAAAATTTTTGGAAAACCCGAAAACCCAAGCAAAACCATTAATTCAATCCTACCACGCGTTAAGGATCTTAAGAAACAAATTAAAAAGCGCAAATTCTGGTGCTTTCCCAACGAAACTCCACTTTATTTTAGAGAATGTCTGTTTTGGTCCCCTTTACTACACTCTTTTTGGTATCCCTTTTAAGATTAAAAATTGTCACGTTATCTCAAACACCTTTATCTTTATCAAATAAAACAAAAGCTTAATATCACTGATACATTCGTATTAATACGCACTTTAATAACAAATAATTGAGGTATAAAAATTCCTTAATGCCACAATTCCAAGAAATACTTCATTTGTAAAGAAAATAAACAAATCAGACCTCCATTACACACTCGATTCGCAAGATTGTTGTGTATTAAAACAGAATTATACCCAGGATATTAATTAGAGACAACAAAATTTTGATGATATTAATTAATAATATTAGGCACCCTAATTCATTCCAAATGTTTTAAAAACACCGTCTCACCTGACATTGTTTACACAGCAGTATATAATAATAATAATAATAGTCATTTATTGGATAACGTACAGAGAAACAATACATAATTCTAGTGAATATTAAACTCATTTTATATCCCTTTGGATTTGCTGCCATTTAGCGTTTAATCGCATCTCGGGCCAGTGGCTTGTCCACATAAATTCGTCACTTTAGATACAGCCATGCAAAGTAATGCCCGGTGGATAATTTTTCTAAATCAAAGTCCCACAAAAGTTATACGGAAAACTTTCATTAAAATTGAAATACAATATCCATTTTTTTTTATTTTTTTAGTAATTCTTTTCATGAAATTTATTATGTTTTAAAACCTCGTTCTTATATGTAATTTGTTCTTGTTCTATTATTTTCATATATCCATTTCGTTTTTCCGCGATGACAAAATTTGGGAACATTCTGAATTCTGATTCACATTCACTGTATGTTCTCCTTTACTTTAAATAATAAAGACCGAGTATCCCGAGTTTTTACAATGCACACCAAATAATGACCTTTTGAGTTTCTTCGTATCGGTATAAAGGATCCTTCCTGAGATTGATCGAGGGCCGATTTCGAAATCGATTCGATATTGCATCAATCAGTGAACGATCAATGTTAAGCCATCCGAAAGATTCAATTTTAACAAGTACCCACATTTTTCATTCCGGGCACGACTTCAACGACTAACTTGCCTCCTTCCAATCCCCATTCAAATCTGATCGAAGTATCTCTGCCACGTTGTATAAAGAGATTATAACTATTCATCACTTAAAAAGCACTTTTAAGTTTGCTTGGCATTTAGCCATTA